CATGTGGGTGCTGGAAGTTGAACTCAGGACCTCAGGAACAGCAGTCTGTGCTTTTAACCTCTGTGTTATCTCTCCAGCCCCCCACTGGATTCTCTTTAATTGTAGCCTGGTAGGTAAAGATTTTTCTTGTCTAGTTTATTTACTCTATTTATTTGGGGGTTTGTGTGCGTGCATGTTCCGGTGTTCACATGTGTACACGTGTGTGTAGGACAACCTCAGATGTTATTCCTTGGGTACCATTCACCTCCCCGACCTCCTTTTGAGACATCATCTCAGTATGTAATCCTCCCCCACCTGGAACATGATAGGCTAGCCTCAAACTCTGAGATCCACCTCCTCCTACCTCTGGAGTGCTGAGATTAAAGACATGTATCATGTCCAGAGCAAGTGACTCAGTAGATCAATTTGCTAACTAGCAAGGGATGTGTTTGTTTTTACTTTCCCAGTAACAGGTTTAAATGGTGGTGCTGCACATCTTCAATCCTAGCACTTAGGAGGCAGAGGCAGGTGGATCTTTGTGAATTTGAGGTGAGCCTGGTCTACAGAGTGAGCCAGGACAGCCAAGGCTACACCAAGAAATCCTGTCTGGCAAGGAGAGAGGAGTCTGTTCACCATTGTGCCCAGCTTTTCAACATGGATTATCAGCTGTTCCTGCTGCCACGACGTTGCTCCCTGACCATGGAGTTTAACTCCCTGGAACTGTAAACCCGGTTAAACACTTTATTTTGTAAGTTGTTTTTGTGATGGCATGTTGTCACAGCAATAGAAAAGTAACTAACATAAACAAAGAAGACCAGCCTTGGCGTTAATATAAGAAGCTGGCCACTGGTTTATTCCTAAATCCTTTATCCACAACTAGATTCAGCTAATTTTATCCTTGGGTCGTCATATATTATATTCCTGTATTGTTATTATTTCGCACTTGCTAGGTCCTAATGCTTGATTATATTCCAATTTTTGGTTTTTCAAGACAGGATTTCTCTATGTATTTCTGGCTATCCTGGAACTCAGTCTGTAGACCAGGCTGGCTTTGAACTCCAGAGATTCACTTGCCTCTGCCTCCCTGAGTGCTGGGATTAAAGGCGTGTGCCATCACCACCCGGCTTTTCAATTTTCTTAAACTTGTTATTGATTCTTTGTGAATTTTACATCGCATATCCCGGTCCTGCTCATCTTCTTCCCCTCACTTCTGTCCTCTGTCCTTGCAACTTCCCCACAAAGCAAAATTTAAAAGTAAAGCCAAATCAAACCAAACAAACAAAAAACATAAACAAAAAATCTCAGCAAGGAAGCTATCGTGTGGCTCAGTGAGTCACGGTATATACCCTTCGGTGATACATCTTTTCTGGTAAGTGTTCATTGCCATGAGTCATTGGTCCGGTTCAAGGCCTCTGACTTCTGCTACATCCGCCATACTGAGCCCTCTCTGTGACTCCTCTTGGATATCCTATTTGTCATACTCAGATACATGGAGTCCCCCTAAAACCAACAAGGAGACAGAGTTCCATATGTAAATGCAAAGAGTCTTTATTCTTACACAAGTTTGCAAACTCGAACTCTGCTTGTGCCCAACATATGGGCGCGATCAGAGAGCCCTGAGCACAGGTGGGGTGGGATTTTTAAATAATAGCTGAGAAATATTTTTTTTAAGGTTCAGGATCCCTGATTGACTGACATTTCTCTAGGGATGGCAGAAAGGGGATGGGTGTGTGCTGGACTAAGGAACATCAAGTGATCCTATTTACAATAGTTGGAACGTTAGGAATTTCCTTTGGATGGTCCATTCCTGGGTGGAGCACGGGTAGTCTCAGTTTGTGGTCCTTTCTGGAATCAGGTATTGCCTTAGGGTAGACTCAGGCCTACCTTCATGTTGGTCTATAGAATCTGTCTTGGCAGGTGTGCACCAAGTTGCCCTGGGTCCTACACTATTGTTGCCTTATGTCATAGAGATACTGCAGCTTTGGACCTGCAGGTCTGGCCCCTTCACATGTTCGATCAGTTAAAGATGAGGTGGGTGTTGGGGTGAGATTTGTTTGTTTGTTTTGCTTTTCAAGGCAGGGGTTTTCTCTGTATAGCCCTGGCTGTTCTGAAATTTGCTCTGTAGACCAGGATGGTCTTGAACTCACAGAGATTCACTTGCTTCTGCCTCCATAGTACTAGGATTAGAGGCATGTGTCACCACTGCCCAGCTATTGATTTTTTGGGGGAGAAGAATTCTTAGATGTTTTGTACTTTCAAGAGGGAACTTATGTGCAACTATGTCACCTTTAGTGATGCTAAAATTTGTCAGGAAAGGCTGGGTGTGGTGGCTCCCAACAATGTGGGGTGGAGGCAGGCAAGAGGGTCTGAAAACTCAAGGTTAGCCCTGGTTGCACAGTAAATTCAAGGCCAGTCTGAGTTACTTTAGGCCTTGAGAGGTTCATACTCAAACAGGCTGGGGTGTAGTTAGTTGGTAGACTGTTCACGTGGATCCATTATTTTATTTCTATAGCCTTTGTACCCGTTCCTTTCCTACCTCTTGAACTTTTTTTTTCCTTTGAGAGACAGGGTTTCGGGCTGGAGAGATGGCTCAGTGGTTAAGAGCACTGGTTGCTCTTCGAGAGGACCTGAGTTCAATTCCCAGTACCCATGTGGCAGCTCACAACTGTCTTTAATTCTGGTTCCAGGGAACCTAACACCAATGGCAAAATACCAATGTGCTTAAAATAAAAATGAATTTAAAAAAGAGAGAGAGAGAGAGAGAGAGAGAGAGAGAGAGAGAGAGAGAGAGACAGGGTTTCTCTGTGTTAACAGCCCTGGCTGTCCTGTTACTCACTCTGTAGGCCAAGCTGGCCTCGAACTCATGGAGAATTGCCTACCTCTGCCTCCTGAGTGCTGGGATTAAAGGTGCGTGCAATTACCTCCTGGTTTAATTGTTGTTCTGGATGGTATTGGTGGAGGCAGCAGGGCAGGGCCAGAGGTGTGTGTGTGTGGTTCTGGCTGGTCTTGCTCTGCAGCAGTCCTCCTGCCTCTGCATCCGCAGTGCTGGGATTATAGCTTCATCAATGTGTTATAACCAGTCTTCAGCAAATTCTGATGCCTGCTAATGTTTTATTTATTTATGTTATATACATAAGTGCTCTATCTGCATGTACACTTTTATGTGTAGAAGATGGCATCAGATTCCACTATAGATGGGATATAGCCACCAGGTGGTTGCTAGGGATTGAACTCAGGTCCTCTGGAAAAACAGCTAGTGCTCTTAATCTCTCCAGCCCGCCTGCTGAAGTTTTAAGCCACTGAATTAACACTGACTGTCCTAGGATGGCCTCAAACAATGATTACTAAGGATAACCATGTGCATAGCAATACATCAAGTGCTGAGCATTATCCAGGCAAAAAACAATGGACTACCAGGCGACGGTGGCACATGCCTTTAATCCCAGCACTCGGGAGGCAGAGGCAGGCAGATCTTTATTAGTTCGAGGCCAGCCTGGTCTACAAGAGCTAGTTCCAGGACAGGCATCCAAAGCTACAAAGAAACCCTGTCCTGAAAACCCAAAAACAAAACAAAACAAAAAACAATGGATTATCCAGTCTATTTTAATACACAGGACTTTTGTTTTGTCAAAACAGAGCCTTGGACTAGAGAGATGGCTCATCAGTTTAGAGCACTTGTTGCACTTAAAAAGGACCCAGGTTTGGTTTCAGGCACTGCTGTTTGTAACTGCAGTTCCAAGATATCCAACACCCTCTTGAGACTCTCCTTTTAATTTCTTGGGCTCCAGGCATGCAAATGGTAAACATACACACAATCAAGCAAAACACGTATACACTTATATGATAAAATGAATACATATTAAAAAGCACATGTTAGGTCTTCTAGAGGACCTGGTTTGATTCCTAGCACCCACTTGGTTGCTCACAACAATCTATAACTACAGTTCCAGGCAATCTGACTCCCTCTTCTGACTTCTCAAGGCACCAGGCATGCACCTGGTACACACACACACACACACACACACACACACACACACACACAGGCAAAATTTGTATATTTAAAAGGAAATAAATAAATCTAAAAATAAAAAATAGAATCTCAAAACCAGGCAGTGGTGACTCACACCTTTAATCCCAGGATTCTGAAGGCAGAGGCAAGTGGATGTTCTACAGAGTGAGTTCCAGGACCGCCACGGCTACACAGAGAAACCCTGTCTTGAAAAACCAAAAAGATAAAATCAAAACAAAACCAAACCAAAAACCACACAGGGTCGCACTTTGTAGCCCAGGCCAACCTTAAATCGGTCCATCCTCCAAAATCACTCCGCCAAGTTCTGGGATTGCTCGCGCCTTCGGTATCACCAGGCTGGAAGAACTGATCTTGTGAAAAGGTAGCCGGTAATGAAAGTGCTCAGGTTTCAGATCTTCCAAGCTCTGTACAGTGAGCAGACCTGATTGGTAAAGGTTTTACTGTTGACCGAGGCTATTCCTTAAAGGGGAAAGGCTTTTTGGAAGGGGATGGCAAAGAAAAAGGGGCTGAATTGCCAGGAAGGGAGACTGACGTGAACAAAGGCAAGAAAGGAAGCGTGTAACCTTGAAGACACCGAGACCCTTTCTTTTCTGTCTTCTCTCCAACACCTAGTGCTTACTCTCTGGGAGTGTTGCTTTCTTTGGGTCCTTCTCTCGGTTCTCTTCTCATTTGTCCTTAGCACACAGGGAGGTCAGCGTCTGTGCCGCTTTTGTGTGCCGACTGCGAGCACCGGCGCTGAAATAGAGGATGCAGTTAAGCGCGGAGAAGAGTACGGAAGGACGGCTGTGCCAGCCTTTGCCTCCGCCAGCGGAGCTGCGGGTGTGTGCAAAGGCCTGGGACTGCAGTACACCAAACGCGCGTATTTCGATCGCCTGTATAGAGTCAGGTGTTGCAGGCTTCCCTGCTTGGGGCTCAGGTTCAAAGCGGGACAGGGAGGTTCAGTACACTCGCGGCCAAGTCGGACGCCGCAGGCCGGGCTGCTGGGCGGAAGCTGAACTGTAGCGGAGGCGGAAGTGCGGCTCCGCACGGGCAAGATGGCGGCGCCCAGGGCTTCCTCGTTCGAGTAGGTGGCTGGCTGCAAGTGATTCAAGCGGAGAACGCAGGATCAAGGTGTCCGATTACTTTGTCATTACCTGATTGGGAGTCTTTGCACCACAGTGACTGAGACCCCTGTGTCACACAGACCGGGGGCACAGCTCTTCATTTTCCGTGGCTGACCGGTGTGATTCAAAAGATGCTTAACTCGAGCCTTCAGCGCAGTCTCCGGACAGGTTGTGTCCTCAAAGCGAAGGCTACAGTGTACGGGGCATTTCGAAAACCCAGAGAATCCATTGTTAGTTTTCCTTCGCTGTTGAGTTAATCTGTAGAAACTATCCTTCTTGTGATTCAGGGTGTAGCTTGTAACACGAATTGATTTTGGACAAATCTCTCCTGAAGTTTGTGAGGGGAGTACATTTGCTTCTTTACGTAGCATGGAGCTAGCTGTTTTCATTCACTGAGGTTTCTTTATATAACAGGTACTGTGGTAGTCACGTTTTGTGCAATAATCTTTTACTGTTGTTGTTTTGAAAGGTTTCATTTATCCCAGGCAGACCTGAAACTCCTGATCCTCCTGCCTCCACTTCCCAAATGCTAGGATTACTGGTGTCCCAGCCCTGTGCATTCTACAGTTGAAACTGAATTTATAATAGCTCAAATAATTTGCCTAATTTTACCCTAATAAGTAGTGGAGCTGGTATTTGATTTCTGACTTACTGATTTCTAATGCTACTACTAATCTACCCACATCAGCCGTGTATGTGTGTGTGTGTGTGTGTGTGTTTACTGGGCAGAGAAACCAAGGCCTTATGCATGCTAGACAAACACTGTGCCACTGACCTATACCTGACTCTCTGACTCTCTCTCTCTCTCTGGATGGAGAGTGTGTCTCCTAGCCTAGTAGCCTAGTCTGGCTTTTTTTCTTTTTTTTCTGAGATGGTCTTACACTGTAACTATGTAACTGGAGTGCTGTGAACACTTACAGCCATTTGTACACCACTCAGCCCAAAGAAAATGCTCAAAAAGCATTTTTAGAGGCAATGTTGTTTTTGACTTTTTTGGAACAAGGCTTTGTTATATTATCACACAAACTATCTTGAGACTCTCAGTCCTGCCTTAACCTCCTGAGTGCTAGAGTTACAGGTATAGCCAATCGCAGCTGACTTGTAGTTCCCTTCAGTCCTTGTGTTAGGGATATTTTCTATACTGGCCTAGTAACTATTGTTAATAGTTATTACATATGATCCTGCATAGGACTGGATGTGCGGCACTGTTACAATTCAGACCTATCTGGCTAGTATCTCCTTGCTTCTTATTGTTCTTAGCCTTTGGAAGATGACTGGTGTACTGGGCTCTCCCATGTGCCACATTTTGACATTTTTTATTATGTTATTATTTAATGTATTTTGTGAAGGTAGGCACTCATGCCAGTGTGCTTGTGGAGGTCAGACGACAGCTTGCAGGAGTTGGTTCTCTATCTTGACCATGTATGGGGATTGAATTTAGGTTGCCGGGCTTGGCAGCAAGTGTCTTTCTTTATTTATTGAGTCATTGAATCCTTGTTGATATATTTGTTTGTTTATTTATTTATTTTTGGACAAGATCTATGTAGACCAAACTAGCCTCAAATTCACAAAACTCCACCAACCTTTGCCTCCCTAAAGGCATGTTACACCATACCTGGTGAATTTACCTTTTTAAAATTTATAATTCAGTGGCTTTTTAGTGCATCTATAAGGTTACTGCCAACATCTAGTTTGAGAACATTTTGAGAGTTTTGCCACCCACAGATTGTAAACAACCTAAATTTGCTATATATCCTTTTTGGTTGTTGTTTTGTTTTGTTTGAGACAGGGTCTCACTATGCAGCTTTGGCTGTCCTAGAACTCACTAGGTAGACCAGGCTGGCCTCAAACTCACAGAGATCCACCTACGTCTGCCTCCCAAGTGCCACCATGCCAACTCTTATTTGTTTTTTTATACAGAATTTCATGTGTCTCAGGCTGACTTTTGAATTTACTGTATAGCCAATGATAACCTTAAACTCTGTACCCCCTTGCCTTCACTCCCTAGTGCTGGGTTACAGATGTGCGCCGCCATCCTTGCCTCTAAATAATTTTACTGGATTGATGGCCAGGGAGTGCTGATGGAGAAAGAACTGCAGCCGGGTGGAGGTGGCGCATGCCTTTAGCCTTTAATCCCAGCACTCAGGAGCAGAGGCAGGAGGATCTCTGTGAGTTTGAGGCCAGCCTGGTCTACAAGAGCTAGTTCCAGGACAGGCTCCAAAGCTACAGAGAAATCCCGTCTCAACCCCCTCCCTCCGCCAAAAGAGAGAGAGAGAGAGAGAGAGAGAGAGAGAGAGAGAGAGAGAGAGAAAGAAATGGCAGTGATGAGGAGTGAGTTCGCATGGACTCATGAAAAACATAGTCAGTGCTTGGTAATAAAGGCTGTTGTTTGATTGCTCCTAGGGGTTAATGAGAGAGTTTCCACAGCAAGAAGGACTGGAAGGAGTCATACAGAGGTCACAGCCTTAGTGTCACAATGCTGTCCAGACCAAAGCCTGGAGAGTCTGAGGTGGACCTACTGCGCTTCCAGAGTCAGTTCCTCGAGGCGGGTGCGGCTCCAGCGGTACAGCTGGTGAAAGGAAGTAGGAGACATGGTGATGTTCACCCAGACCAGCTCCCACCGCAGGACCGTCGGGATGTGGTGATGCTGGACAGTGAGTGCCTGCAGGATGGGCATGGGGAGAGAGGGATCAGCCTAAGGGAGCCCGCTTTCCTCCTGAGGAGAGAGTGGTCAGCCTATGGGAGCCCGCTTTCCTCCTGAGGAGAGAGGGGTCAACCTAAGGGAGCCCCTTTTTCTCCTGAGGTGGCTGAATACTGTTCCAGCTCTAACCTCTGCTGCTGAAAGTTTGTTTTATTTTTATTTTATTTTTTAGCATTCTGTTTTGTTTGTGAGAAATGGTCTTGCTCTGTGACTCAAGCTATTTAGCACAAACTGTGAACTTGTGGCGGTCTTCAGCCTAATTCTAGGATACCAGGTGTGCACCACCATGGGCAGCTCTGCACCTCTGCAACTCCACTATATAGATGAAGAGGTTGAGGTTCAGAGAGGTTAATGTCCTACCCAAGATAACACAGCTTGATCCAGGGCCCAGAGCATCTGTCTTGTTCTTTGCTGCTGCCCCCAGCTCTGATATCTTCTTAGGAAAGTGTGGCTATACTCAACATCTGGGTTCTTTCTTTCAGATCTCCCAGATGTGCCCCCAGCTCTGGTGCCCGCTCCTGCAAAGAGAGCTAGACCCAGCCCTGGCCATGCCCTGCCTCATGATGAAGACCCTGAGGAGAGGCTGAGTAGGCACGATCAGCACATCACCGCGGTTCTGTCTAAAATTATTGTACGTGTTAGCCCAGCCGGGGGAGGGGGAGAGGAGATCCCGTTTGGAGAAGAAAGGATTTATGAGCAGAGGGTGCTGCAGTCAGGTTAGGGCTAGGTTAGACCACCTAGGACAGATCCAATATAGGTTCAGGAACCCTTGGAATGAGGGTCCTGAGGCCAGTGGACTAGGGTTCACTCTGGAGAAACCTGTGCATCTTCATTGTTTGGTGTTCCATTGCCACAGGAGCGGGATACAAGTTCAGTCACTGTGACTCTGCCTGTGTCCAGTGGTGTCCCTTTCCCCGCTGTGTTCCATCGCTCAAAGGAGAGACAGGTAAGCAGGGTTACCTTAGGTGGGGTCTCGTTAGGGTTTCTGTTGCTGCAGCAAACACCATGATCAAAAGCAACTGGGGGATAAAAGAGTGTATTTCAGTTACATTTCCATGTCATAGTTCATCATTGATGAATTCAGCATAGGAATTAAACAGGGCAGGAACCTGGAGGAGGAGCTGATGCAGAAGCCATGGAGGAGTGCTGCTTACTGGCTTACTCCTTATGGCTTCCGCAACCTGCTCTCTTTTCTTTTCTTTTCTTTTTTAAAGATTTTTTTATTATATATACAATATTCTGTCTGCATGTATCCCTGTGGGCCAGAAGAGAGCACCATATCTCATTACAGATAGTTGTGAGCCACCTTGTGGTTGCTGGGAATTGAACTCAGGACCTCTGAAGAGCAGCCAGTGCTCTTATCCTCTGAGCCATCTCGCCAGTGCCCAGCCTGCTTTCTTATAGACCCCAAGTCCACCAGCCCAGGAGTGACACCATCCACAATGGGCTAGGCCCTCCCCATTTTTCACTAATTAGGAAAATGACTTATAGCCAGATGTTACGGAGCTGTTCTTTCAGTTGAGGTTCCTTCCCTCCTTCCAGATAACTCTAGCGGTATCCGTTGGCATAATACTATCTAGCACAGGTGGTGCTTAGGGAGTTTCAGGGTAAATCTTCTCTAGGTACTTTAGGAAAGTTCTTTTTTTTTTTTGAGACAGGGTTTCTCTGTGTAGCCCTAGCTGTCCTGGAACTCACTCTGTAGACCAGGCTGGCCTCAAACTCACAGCCTGCCTCTGCCTCCCAAGTGCTGGGATTAAAGGTGTGAGCCACCACCACCCGACAAGGAAAGTCCTTTATTATTATTATTATTATTATTATTTTAAAACTAAGCCAGGTGTGGTGATGTGCACCTTTAATCCCAGAACTCCAGAAGCAGAGGCAGGCAATTCGAGGCCAGCCTGGTCTACAGAGTGAGTTCCAGGACAGCCAAGGATACACAGAGAAACCCTGTATTGGAAAATCATTTAAAAAAATTTTTTGAACTTATTTTTATGTATGGGTGGTTATGTGCACACAAGTGCTGATGCCCACAGAAGTGAGTTCTAGGCAATCGTGAGCTGCCTGATGGAGTGCTGGGAATGGAAGAATAGTGAGTGCTCTCTCAACTGCTGAGCCATCTCTTCAGTCCTCTTCTTCAAAATTTCATTTTTATCTGGTGCCCATGGAGATCAGAAGAGGGTTTTGAAACCCACGGAACTGAAGTTAATGGATGGTGATGAGCCACTTTCTGGGTGCTGGGAGTTGAAATCAAGTCCTCTGTAAGAGCAGCAAGTGCTCGCAATCACTGAGCCCCACACCAGTTTTGTTTGAGACAGTCTTGTAAGAGGCTGACCTCAGACTCACAGTTGTTTGTTTTTGTTTTTTGTTTTTTGTTTTTTGGTTTTTTTTTTTTTTTTTTTGCCTCAGCCTTCCCAAGTGTTTGAATTGCTGTGTTTCTTATGCAGTGCTGGGAACTGAATACAGTGTGCTTCCTGCTGCTAGGCAGGCTATATGTCCTGAACTGTATCCACTCTCTTAAGTCCTATTTTCTTTTTTTTTCCTTTCAGTGTGTGTATGTATATGAGTGTTTGATGTGTGTGCACAAGTTGGTATGTGCAAATTCTGGTGGTCGGAAGACCACCTCAGGTGTCATTCCCTACCTTTGACCTTCTTTAAAATAGTTAATCTTGGTTGTTTGCTGCTTTACATGTCAGGCTAGATGAATGGCCTTTGTTTTTTGTTTTTATTTTTCTCTTTATGTAGTCTTGACTGACCTGGAGATCACTGTATAGACCAGACTGGCCTTGAACTCACAGAACTCACAGAGGTCCACCTGCCTCCTGTTCCGAGAACTGGGATTAAAGTTGTGGCCACCACACCCAGCCTTAGATGGCCTCTGAATTTCCAGGGATTCTTTTGTCTCTATCTCCCATCTTGCTTTAGAAATGTTGGGATTACAGATAAGTGCTAATTGTGCCCAGTTTTGCATGGGTTATGGAGATACAAACTCAGGTCTTCATGCTTACAGAGCAAGTACTTTCACGTGGGTGTAGGTGTGTGTGCACGTGTGTTGTGTATTTGTATGTGTGCTCACAAGTGTGTTCATGCCTGGGTATGGAAATCAGAAGAAAACCTGTAGGAGTCAGTTCTCCTTCCAACTTGTGAGTCCCCTGAATCAAACTCATGTTGTCAGGCTTCAGGTCCCCTTGTCAATTTAGCCATCTTGTTGTTCTCTTTGTTCTTCTGAGATAAGGTCTCATTTCTCCATCTGGCTTCAGACTTGCTGTGTAACAGAGAATGTCTTGAACTCTTCTTCTTTCTGCCTGTACCTCCAGAGTGCTGGGTTTCAGATATGTATCATCATATCCCAGAAGTTCTGGCTTCTGAGAAAATTTCTTTCCTCTTCATTGCAGAGCCTTGGTTAAGGAGCTAAGGAAGGGCAAGTAATAAATTTCAGCAGCTTGGGTTGTTCTCTTTGCCCTACAGGGGAAATTGGGAGCATCGGGTAAGAGGAGCATCTTCGCCCAAGAGATTGCAGCAAGGAGGGCAGCTGAAAACCGGGTCTCAGCAGCTGGGGAAGACCCACCAGAGGGTGAGTGCTGGGCTGAAACGTTTAAGTTTAGTCTTCTTTGTTTCTTATAAATGTACTTTCTTTCTTTAGGTTGTGGTGGAATGGGGTAGAGACAGATGTAATGTCTTCCAGTCTGGCCTGAACTCACCGTCTAGTGGAGGATGATACTAAAATTTGATCTTCCCGCTTCCCTGTGCCTCCAAGCCCAGTTTATATGGTTATAGGATCAAACCCAGGGCGTCACGTATCCTAGCAAGGATGTGCATGCTAAAGCAGAACTACAACTTCAGCTCTCAAATGTAGTTTATTTAGTCTTTCTGTCCTTTTATCTTTGTTTCCTTGCAGATGTCAGTCCAGGTTCAGTTCCGAGCACCTATATGGTGACTCACAACCATCCACAACTCCAGTTCCAGACTAAAGAAGTCTTTAAAAAAAGACTTGAATGTTTTTTTTTTGTTGTTGTTGTTGTTGTTTTATTTTGTTTTGTTTAGGCCTGACTATCCTGGAACTTACTTTGTAGACCAGGCTGGCCTCTAATTCACAAAGATCTGCCTCCTTCTGGCTCTCAAGTGCTGGGATTAAAAGCATGTACCACCAGCACCTGACAAGAATTTTTTTTAAATAAAAAATAACTAACAGCTATGTAGTGTCTGATGGCCGACACCTTTAGTCCAAGCACTCAGAAGGCAGAGGCAGGTGGATCTCTGAATTCGAGGCCATCCTGGTCTACAGCTCCTTCAAGCATACTTTGAATTGACTTCAGATAGAAACTACTAAGGGAGGGTTAGTTATTAACTTGGCCTCTAGTCCTTGAGAGCTACATTACTTACAGAATTGAACAGCAGGCACTGAGACTGTTGCTGAAGAGGAAGTACTGAGGTGAGGTTAGCGTCTGGTAGAGACTGTAAAGGATATCGACCAGGTTTTCATTAGTGATGTGGAAGAGCAGCAGGTAAACTCCTGGTGGTGGATGGCTGTGTCAGGATCTGATGACTCAGAGGGAAGTCTTCCCATATAAGTCTTAAGGGAGGAATGACTGAGAAGCCGCCACCTCGCCTCCCCAGAATGCCTGGGATGCTGTGTGGTTTCTGTTTGGCGTCCAGCAAAGTCCCAGGTTCATCACTGGTCTCTGGGACTGGTTGGCTTATTGAAGAGAAAAGAAGGTCTGGGTAGAGCCAGGAGGACAGAGTAATAAAGCTGATTGTACGATTCTTTCAGGTGCTGTGCCCTCCGAGACACCGTCCTCTAGGGACGAAGGCAGCCAGTTTCCACGGGGCAGCCATGACTTCCACAGATCGAATCTGGTCACAGGGAAGGGGCTGAGGAGCCAGGCAGCCGAGCAGGAGGTCCAGACCATACACGAAGAGAATGTTGCAAGACTGCAAGCCATGGCTCCCGAGGAGATCCTGAAGGAGCAGCAGCAGTTACTGGCTCAGCTTGGTAATGATGCTAGGTCTCCCTGCTGGGACCAAGCTAAGCAGCAGCTGTTACTTGTTGGGGAAGGCCTACTCTGCGTGCCAGGCGCTTTGCTATGTGTGTGTGTTTGTTTACTTTGGTAGCTGGGATTGAACCCTGGTCCTTACATATTCTAGGCAAGTACCCTATCATGAACTGTACCTCTAGCCCCTAAAGGAGCTGAGGGAAGCAGTGAGCCACTACAGCATGTGCTAGTACAGGGCAGACGTGTTTTGGGTATTTATTTAGTGGCATTGGAGATTGATGTGATGTATGTCAAATACTTTCATGCATTTCTTCTGTTTTGTTCTTAAACTATTCCTCTACTACTGGGAGAAATAGGTATTAACTTAACTTTACTAATAAAAAAACAAAAAACAAAAAAATAGCCCGACAGCGGTAGTGCATGCCTTTAATTCCAGCATTCATGAAGCAGAGGTAATTGTGAGTTCGAGGCCAGCCTGGTCTACAGAGCGACTTCCAGTCTATGCAGAGAAACTCAAAACCAAAAACAACCCAGTCTCTGCTGCTCAGGGTGGCACAGGCCTTTAATCCCAGCACGTGTGAGGACCAGAGTTCATGCTCAACTACAAGACCAGTTTGAGGCCTACTGTCTCTGTGAGACCGTTCCTCAAAAACTTAAAACTTGAAGCTGTGTGATAACTCAGTTGGTAAAGGAGCTTGCTGAGCAAGCCTGATGACCAGGGTTTGACTCCTGGAACCCACGTGAAGGTGGAAGAAAGAACTGATCCCACTAAATTGTCCTCTGGCCTCCCCATTGCACCATATAACCTCCCATATCCCCAGTAACGATTTAAAAAATTCTATAAAGGAGAAAAAAAGAGGCTCAGAAATTTAAAAACTTCTCCACAAGTCACATCGATGGTGAGAACTTCAGAACGAATTAATTGTGGGGCAGCAGGGGAGTATTACAGGGAACCCAGAGCCTTGCATGTGCCAGACAGCGCTCTACACACCTGGTCCTGTGGATTCAGTCTAAGAGTTAGTGCTTCTGACCAGTCTAGCCACCCTGGCTCCATCTGCATCACCGCACTAGCTGCCGTAGTTCATGCTGTGCCTTATTACAGCCGTACTTACCCTCTAGTGTAACTACAGTACTTCCTGTTCTACACAGGAGAGTGTGGTCTGCCACGCCTTTCTCAGAGTTCCGCACGGTATAGTGAGCACTTATGGAGCATGTATTCAGTTTTTAGTGACTGTATGTACAAACTGTCTGAAAAAACTCATTCATGTAAGTGTTATCCTTTAGGCTCTAGTCAACAGTCACTAAGCCACAGCTGCTTCAGATTTCTGGCCTGGTGGCCAGAGTGGTTCAGAGGACTGTGGAGAGCAGGGGCTATACAGGTGTGGGCTGGCAGTGTCATTAAAGAGCCACAGGAGAGTGCAAGGGTCCTGGGCCAAGCCTGGGAAGCAGTTTGTCTTGTCCTTGGCACCCAGAGGTGGAAGCTCTCAGCGGGTGTCAGGTGTGGGGTGCCCACCCTGCTTATTCTCTCCACCTTCACTCCCAGACCCCAGCTTGGTTGCCTTCTTGAGATCTCATAGCCATGCCTTGGAGCAAGCAGGAACCAAGGACCCCAAGGAGCAGAGCCCAGAAAGACCCACAGTTCCAATCGCTAAAGAAGAGCCCATCATGTCAGCATCTACCAGTGAGCCCATGGAGGAGGACAAGCTGGAGCCCAGAGCCCCAGGTGGGGAGGAGAGACACCATCTTTTGGTGGATAAGAGTAGCGAGGAAAGCCAGGTGGTAGTGGCACACGTCTTTAATCCTAGCACTCAGGAGGCGGAGGCAGGTAGACCTCTGTGAGTTTGAGGCCAGCCTGATGTCTACAGATCAAGTTCCAGGACACCAAAACTACAGAAGAGGGAGTGGGCTGGTGAAATGGCTCAGAGGATAAAGGCATTTGCCTCCAAGCCGGACAGCCCAAGTTAGATCCCTGGAACCTATATGGTGGAAGAGAAAAGCCACTCCCGAGGACTGTTTTGTTACTTTCTCTCTCTCTCTCTCTCTCTCTCTCTCTCTCTCTCTCTCTCTCACACACACACACACACACACACACACACACACACACACACACACACGGGAAAAAAAAGAGTAGAAAAAACTGTCCTTCCCCCTTGACCTGGCTGATGGGGAGGAGAGGTGGAAATGGAAGGTTAATCTTCATTAGTGCTGTAATTGGCTCAGATAGCCCTCATTTGCTGGTGCACACGCTTCTGTTTCCCATCCTGTTACCACCACTTCTCCCTCCCACCTGAAGAGGCAGCAAGGTGCCACTGGTGCTCCCTCCGCTCCCTCCTGAGACAGGCATCTTCCTGCACTTGCTGCAGGTGCACAGCTCCTGCTTCCTCCCTCCTCTGTGCTGCCGGGGGATGGCAGGACCAGGGTAAGGGGAGAAGAATCTGATGCAGGACTAGAGACACGCCTGACCAGAAGCAGGGGCCAGTGGGAGCACTTATTTCCCAGAAACAAGATTATTCCATTAGGGATTACAAGAGAGGAAATTGAATTATGACCCGGAACCTCCTGCTCCTGGAGGACTGCTGGGCCAGCCAGGCAGGTTGAGTGGGGGCGGGTGGGGGTGGGGAAGCCAGAGGATGTGGTAGAGGTGTTTGAAATCCTGCACCATTGGGTCAGCATAGCTGCCCCTCTTCTTTGTCCCTGTTCCCTTGCTCCTTCAGTGGTCTGGTACCAGAGAGGGACTGGGGTACTTTCCTTGGCAGATGGTCTTCCTTTTCTGTTCCTCCTCTTCTTTCTTTTCTCCTTTTTCTCTCTCGAACAAGTCTTTGGAGTCAGCAAGGGGCTGAAGCCAGGACCAGCCGTGTCTGCTAGAGTTGAAATGTTCATCCAGTTCCCAGGGGCTCCAGCCCCCAAACCATACCATTGAGCCATAGCTGAGGGTAGGAACTGCTAGACAGTGCAGAGGGCCTGTAGCAGCTGCCCTCTGCCAGTGGGGAATCTCACAGACAGTGAATTGAGCCCCTTGAGGAATGCTATGCTTCTACCTCCCTAGCACTGAAACTACCCGTGACCCCCCACAAAGAGTGGCTCCATATGGACACTGTTGAGCTGGAGAAGCTCCACTGGACCCAGGACCTGCCCCCGCTCCGACGGCAGCAGACTCAGGAGGTGAGAGGGACCAGGTGGCTGCTGCTCTTCTGTGCTCTCAGCTTCTCCCATCTCCTGCCTGGCCCTAAGGAAATGACCCTCATTTCTAGTCAGAGGTAGCGCTCGGGCCCAGTCCGAAAAGGCTTGAGTGTGATGGAGAAGTCGCTGCTGCACCAGCCCAGTTCTTCTTCTTCTCTTAGAGAATGCAGGCCCGATTCAGCCTTCAAGGAGAGCTCCTGGCACCTGACGTGGACCTGCCCACCCACCTGGGCCTGCACCACCATGGAGAAGAGGCAGAGGTAAGGCGTGAGACCCAGACAAGACTGGGAAGCTCTTGGCAGGTGTGGAACATTTGTGCAGAAAAAAAGGATATCTGGTCAGTCGCCCTTGATCTGTGTGCCCTGCTCTAGCTCATGGCCTTGCGGTCACTCAGTTCTTAGAGTCAAAATGCTGTTGTTCCTCCTACTGGCATCTTGTTGTAGAACTCAAAGCCAGGCCTTGCGTGCTTTCCCTTAGACAGTTCCATCCCTCATGGGGCTGCCATCCTGATTTTCTTACCTTTCCCAAGTCTCCTTTGCTCATAGAATACGGTCCCAGCTCCTAGCTTGGCAGTGCAGCCTATCATAGACCCCCTAGCTCTGCCTTCTCTCCTCCTGCTGTACCACTCTGCTGACCACCACATGGTCACCCTATTTTCACAGCCTCACAGGGCTCACTCCAAGCAACGGCTGTACCCTTAGTCCATACTAGGCCATTGAAGCTCTACCCCCACCACTAAGACCAGATTCGTTTTTCACACCTGTCTTCTGCTTAGAAATTAAACACCAGCTACTGGGCTGGAGAGATGGCTCAGTGGTTAAGAGCCCTGGCTGCTCCTTCAGAGATCCTGAGTTCAATGCCCAACACCCATGTGGCTCACAGCCATCTGTAACTGTAGTCTCATGGGATAAGCTGACCTCTTCTGGTGTACAGATAGATGTACATGTAGACAAAATATCCATACACATAAAACACATCTTTTAAAAAAAAGCCAGCAGCTACTGCATCCCTGTCTGCTTTATGCCACCGTTGCTGTGTGCATGTCCTGTATTCTTTATCAGCTTGAGGCTCCAAGGAGAGTGAGAACTAGATGATATCACTGACTTATGCTGCCTTTTCCTCGACATCTTCCTGGTGTTTGGGGGACACTGCCCTGTCTCTTGATTCCTTTTGACTTTTTGTCCCTGCACCAGCGAGCAGGGTACTCTCTCCAGGAGCTGTTCCATCTGACCCGCAGCCAGGTGTCCCAGCAGAGAGCCCTAGCACTGCAGGTGTTGTCCCAGATCATCGGCAGGGTAAGTGGACTGTGGGCCTGGTCCTACCCAGCTCCACCGCATCCCTCACCCCTCGCCTTAGACTCTTTTTCTTTGTACTGTGGGTCAGACTAGGAATGGGTCAAATGCAAGGTCATGGGTCAGCAAAGGTTCTGTACAAGTTCTGCAGCTTCAACAGTTTTATCCCCCTGACCCCAAGGCCCAGGCTGGTGAGTTTGGAGACTGCCTAGTGGGCAGTATCTTGCGCCTCCTCTTGGATGCTGGTTTCCTCTTCCTGCTTCGCTTCTCTCTGGATGACAGGGTAGACGGTGTCATCGCAGCAGCCGTCCGGGCTCTTCGCACCCTGCTAGTAGCTCCTGGAGATGAGGTATGTCAGGGGTAGGAATGGGGTTCTGCTCCTCATTCTGGGTATGCCCTTTGCCAAGGCTTTGCAGGCAGAATGGAGAATAGAGAGCAGTCCTGGAAGCCTTGCCTCTGCTGTTCGTGTATGTTGGGAGAAGGAATATTGCTCTACCCCGGAACCATTTTCTTACTTTCTATGTCTTCCCCACCCTGCCCCATCCTCTGGCAGGAGCTCCTTGACAGCACCTTCTCCTGGTACCATGGAGCTTCGGTGTTCCCTCTGATGCCCAGCCAGGAGGACAAAGACGATGAAGGTGAGGACGAAGAACCCACAACCAAAAAGGTGAAGAAGAAGGCCCCTGAGGAAGAAAGCCGCCCTCCCCCTGACCTGGCCAGACACGATGTCATCAAGGTAGATGGCAATCTACCTTCCAGTCCTTGAGCTAGTGGGCAGGTTTACTGGGCAGGAGAGGGAACCTGGGTCTTCACCTCATGTGGCAATGGGTTTCTTTCTTTTGAGTCCTAGGGGCTTCTGGCTACCAACCTGCTGCCTCGGCTGCGCTATGTGCTGGAGGTGACCTGCCCAGGGCCCTCTGTGGTCCTTGACATCCTGGCTGTGCTTATCCGCTTGGCCCGGCATTCCCTGGAGTCAGCCACGAGGGTGAGAAGGGGAGAAGGGCAATGAATGGACAAACAACCCCCGGGCTCTTCCTTCTTTATTTTGTGGATTTTGTTATTGTTATTTTTGTTGCTGCTGTTATTTTGAGATAGGGTCTCATTATAGCACAGGCTGGCCTAGAGCTCATGATGTAGCTCAGGTTGGCCTGGAACTTGTAGAAATCCTTCCTCAGCGTCCTGAGTACTGAGATTATAGGCATAAGGCCATGGTCTGTGCCCAGCTGGGGGACTTCATCTTGATCCTGTCTGTCTCCCTTGTCCTCCTGTCTCCTGCAGGTCCTAGAGTGTCCTCGGCTAATAGAGACCATAGTTCAAGAATTCCTGCCTACCAGTTGGTCCCCCATGGGGGTGGGGCCTACTTCCAGTCTACACAAAGTGCCCTGTGCTGCTGCCATGAAACTGCTTAGAGTCCTGGCCTCAGCTGGGAAGAATATTGCTGCCCGACTGGTAAGCAGGACCCAAGGCAAAAGTTGGAGGGCATAAGACAGGGCTGATTTGGGCTAGATTAAACATGATCCATTAATGCTGGAAAGCTACTTCACCTCACCTTCCTTTTCCTCTCTGATCCAGTTGCTCAGAAACACAACAGAGACCAGCAGGCAGGAGCCTGGGCACCTGGGTCCGTTGGACCTAGTCTGGTCTCATAACGTGGGGAAGCTTCTCTGACGCAAAACTGATCCAGAGTTGCTAGCTGCAGATAGGTACTTGTCACCTGTAGCCTAGAAAAGGTACTTAGCAGATACTGTCCAGAAAGGAGAAAAGAGCACTGGCCAGTGCGCGGTTCAGCAGGTGAAGCACCTGCTGGCGAGCCTGATGACCTGTGGCCGGTCTCCGGAACCCACAGGGAAGAAGGAGGGAAATGACTGCGAGTTTGCTCTGACTTCCATATGCATGCTGTGACATGTGAGCTCCTGTAGCCCCAAATAAATGCTTACAAAAGATGAAGGAGAGGGCCTGAGATTCTTTCACCCCTGCCCAGAGTCATAGGCCCTGTAGCCTCACAGAGACTTAGAATGGGACCAGCCTGAGCCTTTTTCCAAGAGAGAACTGGATACCAGTTGGAAAATGCTGATACCACACCTTCTGCTCATCTCCAGTTCAGCAGCTTTGACTTCAGGAGCCGTCTGAGCCGGTTCATAGCCGAAGCTCCACAAGAACTGGCCTTGCCAGCTGAGGAAGCAGAGATGCTGAGCACTGAGGCCTTCCGTCTGTGGGCTGTGGTCGCCTCCTACGGCCAAGGTGGCGACCTTTACAGGTGAGGAAGGCAAGAGGTAGGCCTCTTGTAGAGCCCTCTGTTATGTGTTTTGAGTCTTACTGTTACTTCCTTCAGCTTTGTTCAGGGTCCAAAGGAGGGGAGGCCAAGAGTGGTGAGCGGATGTCTGCTGGATGATTGGGAGTCAGGACCTGCTAGGGAAGAAAGGGATGTCTGCTGGATGATGCTTGGCTTGGGAGTCAGGACCTGCTAGGGAAGGGAGGGTTAGCTGCAGTCTTTGACAAAAGCATTAGTACATTGGTGAAATCAGGTGTCAGATCCGTTTTGGGGTGCAACATGGAAGGGTTGCAGCCGTCCCAAGTTTCAGGACCTAGCCATGCACAGTGTCTCCATCCTGGGGCTTTCTCCTTCCTGATGCTCTTTCACCAGATGGAGGCTCCTGGCAGGCCTGTGCTTTGTGCCCTCATCTTGGTCTCTTCGTACATTGAAGGCCAGTTGTTCTTCCCCAGGGAGCTGTACCCAGTGCTCATGCGGACCTTGCAGACCCTGCCTACAGAGCTCAGCACCCATCCCCCAAAGCCACTGTCCATGCAGCGGATTGCCTCTCTGCTCACTCTTCTTACCCAGCTGACCCTGGCAGCTAGCAGCACACATCCTGAACCCAGCAGGTAGGTTAGGTGCTAGCCTGCCGGCAGGCGTGCCCAACAACAACAACCCAGGACAGGTGGGAATGCTCCTCCACAGGGAGCAAGGCAGCCAGATCCACACTTTTGCCCCTTTTGATACTCCGGCAGTGACTCTGCTGAGGCCTGCGTGTCGGCCATCCCTTCTTCAGTCACCTGGGCGCAGGTATCTGGACTTCAGCCACTGATCGAGCCATGTCTAAAGCAGACCCTAAAGTTCCTGCCGAGACCTGATGTATGGAATGCCCTGGGTCCCGTGCCCAGTGCCTGCCTGCTCTTCCTGGGTGCCTACTACCAGTCCTGGAGCCAGCAGGTGAGTGCAGCCTGCCTGTCTTGTCTGCGTCCTACCCTCTTCCTCCTGTTCTGACCCCACTTCCCCACCCCTTCTCTGTTGGCACCTCTCCCCGTCTCTGTGGCTTGCAGTTGATATGTGTGGATGTACTGGGAGTGGGAGAGTGGAACCCGGAGCCTCACACATGCTAGACAGCTGCTTCTCACTTCTACCTGTGTCTTCCTGCTGCTGTTTCCCAGGAACTTTGTTGATGGGACCAGAGACCCCTGAGCAGCAGCTCAGCTTGTCTTTTCTTCTGATGTACCCCTAGATGTTGTGTCCTGGAGGAAGCTCAGGGCTGTCTGTCCTTCAGAAAGGTCAGGCTGTGAAGGCTTCCAGACAGATTTTTTTTTTTTTTGAGGCTCTTAGCATGGAGGGGGGTCTGGGTCTATAGGATGAGGAAAATGGGTGTTTTGGCTTGTCAGCTTAGTGCCCCTCTTGGTCCTCCAGTCACAGCTGTGCCCAGAGGATTGGCTTCAGGACATGGAGCGCTTGCTGGATGAGCTCTTGCTGCCTTTGCTGAGTCAGCCTTCTCTGGGCCGTCTGTGGGAGTCCTTGAGGTATGCCCTGTGTGGGTGGCTGGGGGAATCCATCCCAGTAAGTGGGTCCTTAGGGGCCCCGGCAGGGAGAACCCTTGGGACTCTGAGGAACGTGAGCACTGATCTGCACAACCGGGTCCCGCTTTCGTTCTCCAGGCCAGAGCCGTCTCAGCATCTCCGTTCTCCTTGCAGGCACTGCTCCCCGCTCTGCAACCCGCTGTCCTGTGCTCCTGCTCCTGAAGCTCTCCCCAGCCTTGTGTCCCTGGGCTGTGCTGGAGGTTGTCCCCCTCTCAGTATAGCTGGCTCAACCTCACCCTTCCCATTCCTCACTGCCCTCCTCTCTCTCCTCAACATTCTGGTCCGGATCCACAAGGGGCTTTGTGGACAGGTAAACCTTGGGTGCCTACTTAGAGGCTAGGCATGGGGCAGAGGTAGCTGGGGTGGGAAAAGGGAGAGGTGGCCAGAAGAAGGGTGGCCTTGTTTTTCTGAGTGGCTGGGAGGGGACAGCCATCTGGGGAGCCCTGGAACACTTTAGAGTCAGTTTCCAGGTCTGAACAGACGTGTTTCCTCAGCTGGCTGCTGTGCTGACTGCCCCAGGACTCCAGAACTACTTTCTCCAGTGTGTGGCTCCTGTGCCTGCCCCACAGCTCACACCCTTCTCTGCCTGGGCCCTGCGCCACGAGTACCACCTGCAGTACCTGGTGCTCTCGCTAGCCCAAAAAGCGGTGGGTTCCTGTCCGCAGAGGCAGCCCCCACCCTGCTGTCCTCCCTACTTCTCCACTGCATGCAGCTCCTGCTCCAGTCCGTGCTCCCTGGCTGCTGTCCTCCACTGTCCCTTTCCTCGCTCAGCTCTGCTTTGTACTCTCCCTGCTGCCCTCCCTGCACTGACTAACACCATCTTTCTTCCTTAGGCAACACTGCAGCCACAGCCAGCCACCAGTACTGCCCTACACCATACCATAGCCTTGGCCCTGCTGAGCCGGCTGCTGCCTGGAAGTGAATACCTTGCCCAAGAACTGTTGCTGAGCTGTGTGTTCCGGCTGGAGTTCCTACCGTGAGTCCAGGGGTTTCAGGCATTTGGTGTTTGGCGCTTTTGGATGCTGCTGAATTTTGTTAACAAAACAGCATCTTGGAGCCGGGAAACCTAGGTTTTAGTCTCTTTCCTTCACGTATTATACTTAATTTGTTATTCCCTCGGTGAAGTGAAGGTGAGGCTGCTCATCTTCATCCTGCCCAAGTATGGTAAGACTTTACAGTATGACAATGGCTACAAAGTGGGCATGAGCCAGGGTGTGGTTGAGCAGTAGAGCACCTGTGGCTCGTGTGAGGCTCTGATTCAAGGGAGGCCTGGCATGGTGATGCACACCTGTCGTCCCAGCACTTGAGAGGTAGCAGCAAGGAAATCAGGAGTTCAAGGCCAGCCTTAGCTACCTGTCAAATTCTAGGTCAGCCTGGGCTACATGAGAAAGAGACTGTCTCAAAAGCGAATGAGTGGATGGATGGATGAATAAATAGGAACTGGTCCAAACACACCAGAATAAACAAGTAGGAGCTAGCTGGGTGGGACACACTGTAATCCCCACACAGCTAGAGATCAAGCACAGAAGTTTAAGTAAACTCGTCTCTGCCCATCTCTTAAGTGCTATGCAACACTGTGGTGTGAGAGGCTGTCGGGGCAGAAAGGCACAGGCCTGAACTCGGAAGCACAGCCATCTGGATGCTATGGTCCCAGCCCTCAGGTTTGGCTTTGTGTCCTGTTACAGGGAGAATGCGTCAGGGGGTCCAGAGGCAGCTGACTTCTCTGATGGACTGTCCTTAAGGAACAGTGGGGACCCTCAGTGTAAACGAGGTGCTCTCCTAGTTCAAGCTTGCCAGGATCTCCCCAGCATCCGCAGCTGCTACCTGGCCCATTGTTCACCAGCCAGAGCCAGCCTGCTGACCTCCCAAGCCTTATACCGCGGGGAGTTACTGCGAGTTTCAAGCCTGCTACTGCCTGTACCTAAGGAGCCCCTGCTGCCCACTGACTGGCCCTTCCAGCCATTGATCCATCTCTACCATCGGGCTTCAGATGCTCCCTCTGGGCTCCCTGCTGCTGACACCGTAGGCATCGCCATGCGGGTCCTACAGTGGGTGCTGGTTCTGGAGAGCTGGCGCCCTGAGGCCCTCTGCGCTGTGCCTCCTGGTGCCCGCCTGGCACGGCTCATGTGTGTGTTCCTGGTAGACAGCGAGCTATTCCGAGAGACTCCTGTACAGCATCTGGTGGTAGCTCTTTTAGTGTGGCTCTGTCGGCCCCAAGTCCTGCCAAACCTCAACCTGGACTGCCCACTCCCTGGCCTGACGTCGTTTCCTGATCTCTACGCCAGCTTCTTAGACCACTTTGAGGCTGTCTCTTTTGGGGACCACTTGTTTGGGGCTCTGGTCCTCCTTCCGCTGCAGCGTCGGTTCAGTGTCACCTTGCGCCTCTCCCTCTTTGGGGAGCACGTGGGGGTCTTGCGAGCCCTGGGCCTGCCACTGACTCAGGTGTGTGCTCTGCCTTAGCCTCCGTCCTGAGCCTGCGGAGTTCTGGCGTGTTGGGGTTCCTCATTTTACCTTTTGGGGGCTTTGAAGCCATCGGGATGGTAGAGAATAGGAGGGTTTTTATCGTGGTATCTGGCAAAGAGTAGGCATTGGTATTATCAAGGTTCCCTTCTGCTTGTAAACTCCTGTAGTCTAGAGGAAAGATATGCTAAGACCAAAAACAAAACCATAGATCTCAATCACCCAGATTTAAATTAAGTCAGAATTAAGAGAATTTTTAGAATAATCAGAGTGGACTTTCTGTAAGGAAAAGGTGTTATGGGGGAGAGAGGTTTGGCCTGGTGTGGAAGTTTGGGGAGAGTTTGGGGAGCACTTGCTGGAAATAATACTAAGAGGCAAAGTCCTAACAGGTGGTGAAGCTCACGCTGGGCATGGGGCACATGTCTTAACCCAGCACATGGGAGGCAGAGGCAGGCGGATCTCTGTGAGTTCCAGGACAGCAGGGCTGTTACTCAGAGAGCTCTGTCTCCACAAACCAAATAAATAAGTAAATAAGTAAATAAATAAATAAATAATGAAATAGTTTTAGAGCCAGATATGGGAGCACACACCTTTAATCCCAGCACTCAGGAGGCAGAGCAGGCAGATCTCTGAGTTTGAGGCTAACCTGGTCTACCGAGTGACTTCCAAGACAAAGAGAACCACACAGAGACTGTCTCAAAAAAAAAAAAGTTTTTGAGATGGTGCCTTTCTTTGTAACCCAGGCTGGTCCCAGTCCTCTGGATGTATTCAGGAATGATAAGCTTGTGCTTCCACTCCCAGCTCAGTACAACTGTTAATATTTTTTCTAGTCTCTTTTGAATGCTTGTATATTTTTATAAAATTGGAACTACTGCATAGAGAATTTTTTCATTTAGCCCTACATCATAAGCATTTGTCATCATTAAATAGGCTTAAGAAATCAATACTGTGCTGGAAATGTAACCCAGGGCTTTATGTGTCCCGGGCAGGTGCTCGGGCTCTGAGCCCTGCCCAGCACTAGTCTTTGCCCTTCAGTTTGCATCCATGTCCTAAAGGAGGACCTGATGCTCTGGCTCCTGCGGCCAGCAGTCATCCACCACCGTCCGCTGTGCACTTCTCCACCCTCGCCCTCAGCAGCTCATTCCCTCCCTCACAGCTGCCTGTGCCCTTGGAGTGCTTCACAGAGCCTGCCGAAGACAGCCTGCCTCTCCTTCAGCTCTATTTCCGGGCCCTGGTTACTGGCGCACTCCGTCCACACTGGTGCCCTGTCCTCTACGCTGTATCTGTGGCTCATGTCAACAGTTTCATCTTCTCCCAAGACCCAAAGAGCTCAGTACGTCCCATCTCGATATTCAAAGAGTGGGAGGGGAGCCAGTGGTCCAGTTGGGGAGGAGGTGAGAGTTAAACAAGGCCAGTGGTGGGTATCAGTCCTTGGCCAGGTACCGCATCTCCCTCTTGTGCTCCTAGGATGAGGTGAAGGCTTCCCGGAGGAATATGCTGCAGAAAACGTGGCTGCTGGCAGATGAGGTAGGATTGTGGGTATTGGAAAGATGAAAGATACAGGGGCTTAAGGAACCAAACCTCAACAGACTCACCACCCACTTCATGTTTTTACCCTCTCCACAGGGTCTGCGGCAGCATCTCCTCCACTATAAGCTTCCCAACTCCAGCCTCCCAGAGGGCTTTGAGCTGTATTCCCAGTTGCCTCGCCTGAGACAGCAGTACCTTCAGACATTGCCCACAGAGGTGCTCCAGAATGGAGGATTAAAGACGTAAGGCACTTGGTACCAGCTAGAGATGGATGTATTCTTCTGGGACTTGACACTGGAAGTCTGCTCTTACAGAAGAACGTCATTTCATGAGGGAAAGTGGGGGACAAGGGAACACACGGCTTGCCTTCCTGCGAGCACATTGTTTGAACCTTTTTTAGAAACAGAAGGAATGCTTATTACACCCCAATACTGGAACTCAGGATCTGGGACCTCTGAGGGCTCTGCTAGGAACGGAGGGTGACTTAGCTATTTACCCCACTGAGGGCACAGAACAGACTGAGTCCCCTCTCCTCCTCCAGGGTGTATCATTGCTGTACTACCCATTGAAATAAATTCTTTTCTAGTCTAGCTGATCCGTACTGTTTTTGTAATGTTTAGAGTTGGTCTCGGGTGGATTATCTCAAGGAGAGAGGTGGGAGGTAAAAACAGTCTCCATCTGGAGATGAAAGATGTGTCCTACAAGTTTATGAGTGACGTGCCCTTGGGAGTGGGTGTGGAAGTGGGTGTGGCCCCGGAGAACTTTGCAGGCCCCTGGAAGGACAGGGGTCCGGGAAGCCAAATGTCAGCCTGATGTAGTACTTTGCATATGCCACTCCAGTGGGCCAGTTTATGTGTATGTCTCTGCTTGTATGAATGGCGTGTGTGCAGGTGGCCACAGAGGCCGGAAGATAATGTCGGATCCCCTGGAGCTGTAGCTATAGGTGGTTGTGAGCTGCCTGCTGTAGGTACTGGAAACCAAACTCAGTGCACTTAACCACCCAGCCATCCTCCAGCCCCACACAGTGGACTTTCCTTAGTAGGACCATGAAATTATCTAATTTCATTATTTCATTTTGTTTACTTATTTTCTTAAACAAGTGTGCATCACTGCCCTCAGTCTTTTAACTTTAAATTACATTTTATTCATTGTGTGTGTGTGTGTGTGTTTGGGAGGGTGAGGGTCAGAGAAGCACTAAGAAGAGTGAGTCCTCCTCCACCATGTGGGTCCCAGGGAGTCAGGACATCAGCTTGGCAGCAGGCACCCTTTCACTGGCCCTGCTTTATTTTATACACTTCATTGGTCACCACCTCACTGGCCCTGTATCTTATTTTATATGGGGTCTCGTATAGCTCAGGTTGGCTCTGAACTCCATATGTAGTTTAGGATGGCTTTGAACTGATCCTCCTGCCTTCACCTCCAAAGTACTGGGATTGTGGGTATAGCTCATCACACCACTTGGTTTTTTATTTATTTATTTATTATGTATACAATATTCTGTCTGTGTGTATGTCTGCAGGCCAGGAGAGGGCACCAGACCTCATTACAGATGGTTGTAAGGCACCACGTGGTTGCTGGGAATTGAACTCAGAACCTTTGGAAAAGCAGGCAGTGCTCTTACCCACTGAACCATCTCTCCAGCCCCCCATACCGCTTGTTTTTTGTTTTCAAGGTTTTGTTTTTGTTTTGTTTGTTTGGCTGGTTGGATGAATTTTTTTTTTTAGACCGGGTTTCTCTGTGTAGCCTTGGCTGTCCTGGAACCCTGCAGACCAAGCTGGCCTCCTGCTTACATCCGCCCACCTCTGATAAATGGCATGTACCACCACTGCACAGCTCAGAATTTACCAAGTCGCTAGTTAACTACTAGGCATAACTTCAGTATTCAAGTGTTAAAACATAGGCTTCGGCCATTTTTTTTTTTTAAATCCAGTATTTATTGGGATGGTTCTCCCTCATCTTGATCCAGGTACTCTTACTTAGTGTGCCTCCTCCCAAAGGAATGTCCCCCGTAACCCTTGCTTTCCTCTTGTAGGCCCAAAATGGGCAGGGGAACAGACAACACAAGACTACTGTGCGTGCAGGGCTAATGACTGGTAGGATTTTAGTATCCTGGGTAGTTCACATCCATGGATTGGAAAGAAATTAGCACTGGGTACCAGTGATGCCCTATCTCTTTTCCTTTGCAGATGGTTGAAGGAGATCCTTTTCAAGAGATTTATTCTTGTAGGGAGGTTAGTCACCGTGCCTGGCTTAACATTAGCATTTTGAACAAAAGATGAGACTCCAGCCTCCATTGAAATTCATCGATGGCCAGAGTCCCAGGTGATAATGGTTGGAGGAAGTAAAGAACTTCCTTGGGTGACCTGCCCAGACTTAAATTATCATAGCTGGCCCCACAGATACAATACACAAAACAACCCAAAGGCTTAATTCCAGTGGCCCCCTCAGTGTGGAAACTACTGAGCACTCGTGACCCAAGTGTCCTACCGTGAGATTGACAGGTGTGGACCGTGGCTGTGCTGCTCTGCATTGCCTAGGGTGGAGCACTTGGATCCCCTGACAGCTCTAAATCGTGATTAGCTTTCTTAGAGGAAGTCTCCTGTAGCCCAGGCTGGCGTTCAGTTTGTTGGCAGAGGATCACCTTGACTTTCTCCACCTGGCGGGTGTTAGAGTAGCAGGGAGAGCTACCCAGCTGGAGTTCTCAGACACTTTGTCCAGTCCTGGCAGTAACAAGTTATGCACAGGACAGTGGAACCAGAAAGTCATGTGGTCAGAAAGGCACTGATAGCCACAGCAATGGCGAGCAATAATGCCTTACTGGGGACAGTTTAGAGAGTATTTCCTGCAAGGCAATGCGGCATACGCCATTGATCTCAGCACTCAGGAGGCAGGTGGGTCTCTGAAGGCCAACCTGGTTCCACATACTTCCCACGTGTGACCATTCACACACATTAACACTGCTACCAATAAAGCCATTCGCTCTGTTCCTATCCTGAAACCCACAGAAGCCACTGCCAAATGCTAGGATGTGGCTTGCTGCCATCCAGGCGGTTATCTCAGACGAATAGAGTGGGGCCAACTTTTTTCTCCTATCACCAACTCACCCTGATTCTTAGGGTGGCCAGCAGATGAGACAGTGGCTTGTGACTGAGACTCTGGGTGGGAATTCAGCAAGGCTCCACCCGGAAGCTTGCCCACATGCCCCGCCTTTTCCTCCTCTTGCTCCATTTCCTCCTCTTACGCCATTGGGCGTAGCCAGACCAGCTCCTGGTCTGCCGGGTAGTGGGGGTGGCTCTGAGACTACATCCTTAGCTGGACCCAACGGATAGGGCGATGGGCTGCTCCTGCAGGCTGCTGCTGTGGCTGGGAGCTGCCGGTAAGTACTGTTGGTGGTTAGGGTGCCAACCAACCAGAGACACCTAGAGTTGGGGCTGCGTCCGAAACAGACCAGGTCTCACTGGTTCCTTCTAAGGCGGCCTCGAACCAGAACTCTCTGGTCTGTGCTTCTAGAGTGCAGCAAGGGAAGCGCAGAGCACGTACAAATCTAAGAACCGGGTGGGCCTTGGCACTACCTGGGAGTAAGGACACCAATCTAAATGGAGGAAAGGGGAGGGGGTGCTGTACAGCTGGGCACGGTGCAGCCCCCAAATTACTCAGTGAGAAGAACTCTGAAACGGAGAACCTGATATATACAGACACCTTGCAGGACCCTGGGCTACCTGGTTGGGACTCTGGCTGTTTCAGGTTCTGGTGTGCGCCCTCTGGATGGTATTAGGGGTGTGGCTGCAAGCAGGACACTGTTGAGTGGCCATCAATCTCTTACGTCTCTTCATATTCTGCACCTTCTTCTAACCCCGCTTCCCCCCTGCCGCCTTTCAGGAACTATTCTTTGCTCCAACCCGGAGTTCCAGGCCCCCTTTCTAACATCCTCGCCCTTGCTGGTGCTAGTCTCCAATTCCCAGGAGCAGAAAGTCACCCCCACCTCTAGTAGAGCCGAGCCAGCTTCCCATCCAAATCCTCTAGGTGAGCTTCCGATTCCTCCCTTTTCTTCGCTCACCATCAACAGACCCTAAGCCCGGACAGGAATTCCACTATTTCCTTCTCCCTTGCACCTAGGCACGCGGGGGCCTTGGGTGTTTAACACCTGTGGCGCCAGCGGCCGGCGGGGGCCCACACAAACACAGTGCGACGGGGCATACACAGGAAGCAGCGTGATGGTGACGGTGGGAGCTGCCGGGCCGCTGAAAGGCGTGCAGCTGTGGCGGGCGCCAGACACCGGCCAGTATCTGTAAGTGCCTGGCAAGGGCGAGGGTGGCAGTCACCTGCTCGGCTAAGGTGCTACAGTCCGGGGAAACAGGGCCCAGAGCACCATCCCTTTTTGTCTTAAAGTATTCCGCAGCGGTGCCTAGTGTCACTCACTAGAAGTGTAGCAACAGGGTCCGTGTTAGCTAGCCGGTAGCAGGGATCCTGTTAGCATCCCCAGGACGGCCGCCTAATCAGCAGTGACTCCAAACCCGGCTTGACCCTTTCCCGCCATCCCCATTATCACTCCTGAAATGGGCGCGGAACCTAACTGCAAACCCAGTCTGCCCATCCTTCACAGTCGATCACACTAAGCCACTTAGCAAGTTTCGCAGCCGCGGGTTTCCGACCTCGCGCCGCAGCCTGGCCCAGGACGGAGGCGCGAAACCCTGCGTCCTCTCCCGGCAGGATCTCCGCCTACGGAGCCGCCGGCGGCAAAGGCGCCAGAAACCACCTGTCCCGGGCGCACGGCATCTTCCTCTCAGCGCTTTTCTTCCTTCGTCGCGGGGAGCCGTTGTACATCCTTGTGGGGCAGCAGGGCGAGGACGCCTGTCCCGGAGTAAGTGCAGCGAGGGCTAAGGGGCGCCCGGGTCAAGAGCAGGCGAAGGCGTCCTTGGTGCCTGGATACCAGCACTTGGAGGGTGGGGGAGGTCCCTGGTCACGCAGATTTCCACCTTGGTGCCACTCAGGGGAGCCCTGAGAGCCAGCTCGTCTGTCTGGGAGAGTCTTGGGCCACTGGAGAACATGCGGCAACGGATGAGACCGAA